TGATATTGGATCCAAACGAAAAGCACAAATCATCAGAATCTCAAGCTACTGATATGAATATGGGGAGGTGCTGGCCTAGTGATATTATTGCTAGGCTATTAATCCGGAGACCCAGGTAATGTTCAATCTGGGTTAGAGCCCCACCATGGAAGATGCTGAAATTTGAATTCAGTGAAAGTCTGGAATTATGGTCCTCACAATGACCAAAGAAACCATTGTCAATTGTCAGAAAAGTCCATCTCGTTCATGAAACTGCCGTCCTTACCTGGTCTGGCCTACACATGACTCCAGACCCACTGCAATGTAGTTGACTCTTAATTGCCATTTGGTTAATTAGCGACGGGAACTATGTACTGGCCTAGCCAGTAACACTCACATCCCGTGAATAATAAATTATTAACTGGCACCCGTTATTCATATCTCGTTGATTTATCCAGTCCTCAAGATTGTAAGTGAAATGGGTAATTCACCAATAAATCAATTGCAAGAAATTCCAATTCATTCAGAAATGCCTGCTACAAACTAATATTTACCAAATACAGAATACCTCTATGCTAACATTTATTGGTAAGTACAATAAGACTGGCCTCATGACGGCTGCATCCTGGTGTCTAGTAATGAAAGTCAAGTGACTCTCTTATTTGATGTTTAATTTCAGTAAGGACTGTCTAGATCTCACAAAAGAAAGGCACCTCATTATTATCCAGGGTTCCCGAATGGTCTGCTGAATACGTTTGTGAAAAAAAACCCACTGAAAATGCTATAGAGATGTGCCACTTCTCTGTCACTGCATCAATGAGTGCAAGATCAAGCAGGTAAATCTCCCTGAATCACTGGGAACAGAAACACTGGTTCTGACATTTTAATTTCAAGCACAATCCAAATTGCAGCATTGCATTTTCACATGGTACAGAATTACTTCAGGGTTACAAGCTATGGCCAATGGCTGCTTACATATCAGGAAAGCAATGGAATTTACCTCGTTCTCTCTTTAAGCTAAAATATTTAGCGAGACAAACCAGCAGGATTGAAAATGTATAGAAATTGGAAGATCTGCCATTGGTTGTTTGCCAGATGGTAATCATCAAAGCGTTATTGTGGTAATTGTGATAATTATCACAAGCTTATTGAGGTTGCTGGCTTACATGAATCCCAGCATTGGGAACATGTTGAGATCCAATATGCTCCTAGTTTCATTTGTGATCACTGCACACCAGAACAGAATGACCACAAGTGGAAGAACGGGTGGTTTAATGGATTTTTAAATTTTGTTCTTGGCATGGAGGCATTACAGGCAAGGTCAACATATGTTACCCATCACTCATTGCCCTTGTAAAGGAACTGAGCGGCCTTCTTGTACTGCTGCAGTGCATTTGTTGCAGTTACATTGATCATGCCTTTTTAGGTGAATGGGTTTGGTTGGGGTTTGGGGGTTGGGAGGTGGGGGCGGATGACCAGTAATACAGAGAAGCGAGATTATACAGACAATGTTATCCAAGGCCATACCTTTCCGGAGAGAAATGATTCGATGATGAGTCCCCACAGGTCTGTAACTGACACATTGTGTCCTGAACGATTCTTCTCTACTAAAGCATTGATATAATATCCTAAGCGATCCTTGGACAGGGCACTGGTCTTGCTTTTTGTCACCTGTTCCTTAGCTTTCTCAATGTGTTCTTTCAAATCCTTGAGAGACCAGTTGGCATCCTGATACAGTGTAGACATACACCTGGTGAAAAGTTACATTTCTTTTACAAGTTTTTCTGATGAGGGGTTGTTTGCCAGATTGATGTATTACAAGGTAGGACACAGATGATAATCATTAAAGCGTTATTGTGGTAATTGTGATAATTATCAAAAAGCTTATTGAGATTGCTGGCTTATGTGAATCCCAGCATTGGGAACATGTTGTGATCCAATATGCTGCTGGTTTCATTTGTGATCATGGCTCCACATCAGTATATTTAATCCTATTTTCCACACATTTTTATTTTAAATGACCTTCTCTCCATCGTACGGTCAGAAGTGGGGATGTTCATGAATGGCTGCACAATATTCAGTACCATTTGTGACTCCTCACATACTGAAGCAGTCCATGTCGAAGTGCAGTAAGACCCGGACAATATCCAGGCTTGTGCTGACGAGTAGCAAGTTATGTTTGTTGCACACAAATGCCAGTCTATGACCATTTCCAATAAGAGACGATATAACCAACCACCCCATGACATTCATATGGCGTTACCATCACCGACCCCCCCTACTATCAACATCCCAAGGTTAACATTGACCAGAAATTGAACTGGACTCACCAAAGAAATACAGTGGCTACCAGTGCAGGTCAGAGGCTGAGAATACTGCAATACAGAGAGTAACTCACCTGACTCTCCAAAGCCTGTTCACTATCCATAAGATACAAGTCAGGAGTGTGATGGAATACACCACCCGGCCCGCTACCCCACCCCTTACCGGGATGACTGCAGCTCCAATAAAACTCAAGAAGCCAGACACTATCCAAAGCTTGAATGCCATCACGTTCACAAACACCAACTCCCTCTACAACTAATGCTCAGTAACAGCAGTGTGCACTATCTACAAGATGCACTGCAGAAATTCATGAAGCCTTCCCAGCACCTTCCAAACCCACAACCACTACCATCTTACCACCACGTGCAAGTTGCCCTCCAAGCTACTCACCATCCTATCTCAGAAACATATCACCATTCATTCACTGTCACTGGGTCAAAATCATGGAATTCTCTCCGTAACAGAATTATGATCAACCTATAGCACGTGGACTGCAGTGATTCAAGAAGGCAGCTCACCACCACCTCCTGAAGGGCAACTAGAGATGGGCAATAAATGCTGGTACAGCCAGCGCACCCCATGGGTGAATTAAAAAAAAAATCATCTTCTCCTCCTAGATCTCCAATGGATAATCTTCCACAGGGGAATTTTGCTAACACTTCTCCTGAAATAACTGGACAGCACCTACATACAAGCAAATCATTTGGTCCACCAAACCTGCTCTACTATTCAATAAGATCATGGCTGAACTGATTGTATTTCCAATTCCACATTCCCATCTACTCCCAATAATCTTTGATTCCCTTGCCTAACAAAGATCTAGCTACATCTTTCTTAAAAATATTCAATAACCCTGCTTCACCACCATCCAAGACAGAGCGTTCCAAAGTCACACAACCCTCAGCCAAAACAAAAAGGCTCCTCTATTCAAAATGGCAAATTCTAATTTTTAAACAGTGTCTAGACTCAACCACAAAGGAAGCATTCTTTCAATGTCCACCTTGTCAGGATTTTACATGTTTCAGTCAATTCACTCCTCATTCTTCTAAATTGGAGTGGAAACAAAGCCTGCCCATTCAATGTGTCCTCATGAAACAACCCATTAATTCCAGGTATAAATCTAATAAACCACCTCTGAACTGCCTCCACACATTTATGGCCTTCCTTAAATAAGGAAACCAAAACTGCACACAGTATTTGAGATGTGGTCCCACAATACCCTGACTAACTGAAGCTCCCAGTAATCTTCTTGATTACAAACACAAAATGCTACAGAAACTCAGCTGGTCTGGCAACATCGGTGGAAGGTTTCTCTCAACACAGATGCTGCCAGACCTGCTGAGTTCTCCTGTACTTTGTTTGTATTTCGAATCTCTGGCACATAGTCATAGAGACTGAGAGACTTCGGTCCGACTCATCCATGCTGACCAGGTATCCTAAATAAATCTAGTTCCATTTGCCAGCATTTGGCCCAGAACACTCTAAAACCCTTATTATTCGTATACCCATCCAGATGCCTTTTAAATGTTGTAATTGTCCCATACTCCACCACTTCCTCTGGCAGCTCATTCTATACACGCACCACCACCTGTGTGAAAAAAATTGCCCCTTAGGTCCCCTTTCAATCTTTCCCCTCACCTTAACCCTATGCCCTCTAGTTTTGGACTCCCCCATCCGAGGGAAAAGATATTGTCTATTTACACAATCCATGCCCCTCTTGATTTTATAAACCTCTATAAAGGTTATTCCTCAGCCTCTGATGCTCCATGGAAAATAGCCCCATTCTGTTAAGCCTCTCCCTATAGCTCAAACCTCCCAACCCTGGTAACATCCTTGTAAATCTTTTCTGAACTCTTTCAAGTTTCACAACATCCTTCCTGTAGCAGGGAGACCAGAATTGCATGCAGTGTTCTAAAAGTGGCCTAACCAATGTCCTGTACAGCCACAACATGACGTCCCAACTCCTATACTCAATGCACTGACCAATGAAGGCAAGCATACCAAACACCTTCACTATCCTGTCTACTTGCAACTCCACTTTCAAGGAACTATCAACCTGCACTTCAAGGTCTCTTTGTTCAGCAATACTCCCCGGGACTTTACCATTGATTGTAAAAGTCCTACCCTAATTTCGCTTTCCAAAATGCAGCATCTCACATTTATCTAAATTAAACTCCATCTGCCACTTCTCGGCCCACTGGCCCATTTGATCAAGATCCCATTGTACTCTGAAGTAACCTTCTTCGCTGTCCACTACACCAACAATTTTGGTGTCATCTGCAAACTTACTAACCATACCTCCTATGTTTACATCCGAATCATTCATATTAATGACAAAAAGCAGTGGACCCCGCACCGATCCTTGTGGCACACCGCTGGTCACAGGCCTCCAGTCTGAAAAGCAATCCTCCACCACCACCCTCAGTCTTCTAACATCCAGCCAGTTCTGTATCAAAATGGCTAGTTCTCCCGCTATTCCATGTGATCTGACCTTGCTAACTAGTCGAAAGCCTTACTGACGTCCGTCTAGATCATGTCCACTGTTCTGCCCTCATCAATCCTCTTCATTACTACTTCAAAAGACTTAATCAGTAATACTAAATAGCACCTACACTACTTTGCTTTTATATTCAACCTTCTCAATTTTGTGCTGTACCTGCATACTGACTTGTGTGACTCACGCATGAGAACAAGGGAACAAGGGAACGAGAATTGGAGCTTGAGGACGTAAAATAAAACTAGAACATTCCCCAGCCTTCAAAAAAGGAAGATTTTTTTGGGGGAAACTTCCTACAGTGGAGAGAAGTTGTGAGATTGAATGTTCTCAGGCCGAGAAAGGAAAATAACAGAAGTAAACACTTGGGACTTAAGGACGGCCTTGGACTTATTCCGGAAGAACGGAAAGTCTACTTAAAGGGTAAACAATTGTTGTGTTTTTTTTACAATTATGTTACAAGGGAAATGGAACTGGAACATTCTGTTATGTTATTTGAAAGATAGCATTAAGTCATTAAAGTATGACTTATCATTTGTTACAATAAAAGTCTTAATGTGCGGAATTTTGCCGCATTATACTTTGTTATTAACTGGAAATTCAAATTACTTTTTAAAAGTTATCAGTCTTTATAAAGATGGAGAACTTAACAGCATTGTTTCCAGTGTAACTCTTGGTGTACCTACCCTCGTATTTGATGGCATTGAAGGGCTTCACTCTGTACTTAATTTGGGCTGTACCTACCCCAGGACAAGGAGACATTATAGAGGCACTTCTACTCGGTATTTAATCCATGCTGTGTCTGACCTACATTGTCAACCAGAGACCTAAGCAGTGTAATAAGGGGCAGTGTCAACCTTTCTGTGGCGCAAAACCGGTTAAGTGTTGGACCTTGTAGTTTGATCCAGAAGATAAATGTAAACGTTATTTTCCAGGTTTTCTTGAGAATGAAAAGGGCGGAGCTTTTGGGCCCTGCTCATTGCCTAGGTTGGTGTTTAGGCAGGAAATATTATGATGTTTGATATATATATTTATAATTTTTCCATTTTAACATTATTTTCTGTGGGTAATGAAAGGTAGTTTATTTTATATTAGGTATTACTGAAACATTTCTTTTTAGGCTTAATGTTATTAAGAGCATATATGACATACACAGAATGAGATGGCTAGTAGATTTAGAAAAGAACGACACAGCAGAATCAGTCAGATAGATGGGTGACTGTTGGCAAAGGTAAGAAGGTAGTTCAAAAGTCTCTGGTGGCTATTCCTCTATCAAATAGATAATCAGTTTTTGGAATTGTAGAAGGGGGATAGTTTCTCCGAGGAAAATGGAAGGTCCAGTCAGTTATTGGATAGTTGAAATGATTCTTATGTTAGGCAGCATTTGACAAGATTTAATAGAATTATTGTTCTAGGGGACATAGAGCTGTCAGGGGCATAGAGCTGGTGTATTGTTCAGGGATTCAGGTTTTTGGACAACTGGAATGTCTTTTGGGATAGAAAAGACCTGTTCAAAAAGGATGAATCTAACCTAAACTGGAAAGGAACCAATATCTCAGCAGGGAGATTTGCCCATTCCATTAAGGGAGAATTTATTCTGACAGAGAGGGAGAGTGAAGGAATTCTATGTAGCAGTGTAAACAGAAAGATTGATTGCGAAGGTTCTGAAGGTGAGGACAGCATCTCAATTAGAAAACAGAGACAACAGAGAGTTACGAGTATGTAGTAACTTTGAAGAACTGAATCGCATTTATTTCAATGCGAGGGGTCTTACAGGTAAGGCTGATGAACTTAGGGCACGTTTAACAATGTGGGATTGGGACATCATAGCTATTATAGAAACTTGGCTGAGGGATGGACAAGACTGGTAGCTCAATGTTCCAAGTTTTAGATGCTATAGGAAAGATAGAAAAGGAGGCAACAAAGGGGTGGGGGGCAGGGTTTGATTAAGGAATACATAACTGCTGTAACTAAGGAAAATATTTCTGAAAAATCAAGTGAAAATATATGGGTAGAATTACAAATAAGAAAGATCACTTTGATGGGACAAAAACAAAGTTGCTGGAAAAGCTCAGCAGGTCTGGCAGCATCTGTGGAGGAGAAAACAGAGTTAACGTTTCGGGTCCGGTGACCCTTCCTCAGTCCTGGTTTACCAACATTTTGAAAGGGACATGTAAT